GCTCGTAATTCATTTTATCTTGGTCATTACTCCTTCGTACATTTTTAAGTGTCATTTCTTAAAAAAAACATTATTTTTTTAAGTGCCGTTTCAAAACTTTAAATAAAATTAATTATAGTTTTGTTAAAATTATTCTAAATTATTTATTATAGAGAGGAAAAAAATTAAATAAATTATTAAAAAATTAAGAATATTATAGACAAAAAAATAATAATTGTTTAAAAATATTCTTTTCTTTTTAAAATGACTATTGTTTTATCAAATGAATTTTATTTTAAAATAATTGTCATTTTATTTTTCAATATAATAATAATTATTATTTTTCTAATTGTATATTTTACTCTTTACTTTATAAGATTAATTAATACTAATTGTATATTTTTCTCTTTACTTTATAATAATAATTATTATTTTTCTAATTGTATGTTTTATTTTATAATAATTATTAATATTATTTCTAATATATTAATAAGATTAATTTTGTAAAAGTGTAATGTCTTATGACAACATTATTTCATTGTTTAATTTATGTGTAATAATTTTAAACAACTGTCATTTAAAAACAGAGGGAGTAACAATAATTATTACTCTCTCTGTCTCAATATTTATTACAATCGATCATTTCACACAGATTAAAAAAATAATAATAAATGAAAGAGAGGAATAATAACTTTACCAAATTATTCTGATTAACTATTGGTGTATTTCAATTAGCATTAATGTTAAATGAGAAAATAATAAATTAAAAATATTTATTAGAAGATACAATTAAAAGATTAAATATAAAATTCTATTGATAATCTAAAATGACAAGTATTTTCCAGAAATCGAACTCACTATTCTCCGAATATCGTCCTTTCCATAAACTCCTTTACCATTAATATACATTGGTTATCAATACCCTTGTCCAATTAAACAATTACGTTTTTATATTTTAAATTATTTTTCATTAAAGATATTAATATCCAACTACTTATTATGAATATTTAAAAATTTGTCATGAATATTTTACACTATTATTTAATAGAGATTCATCATTCAATCATATCACACAACTTAAAATTATTTTATAGAAATTCATCATTCAACTGTATCTTACAATTTATTTAAATATATCAGTATGACTTGAAATAATACATGATAATGATTGATATAATAAAATTATTCTACACGTTCAATGCATATAATTTTTTCTCTTATTTTTAAACTTTTAAAATTCCTACACATTTAGTTGCTACTATAAAATTCTAAGTGAATAAGAAAAAACGTAAAAATGAATTCAAGAACTACATTAGACACATAGTATTAAATTTTAATCCATCCTTAGTTTTCCATGAAAAATGAATTTCAATCCTTTTGAACAAAACTGAACAATCCCGTAATTTTTTAAACTGGACCTTTAGAACTTGTCATTATTATATATTCAGGCTTCTAGTTAAAATAAAAGTTTAGAATTTGTCTCTATTATATATTCAGGCTTCTAGTTAAAATAAAAGAAATTAGTAACAAGACGTCTTCTTATCATATTGTTCTTACTTAAATCATGTGATAGATAAACCAAAATTGCTTACGAGGTTGCTAAACTAATACAAGTCGCAAAAAACTGAAATTGGTACAAAATAACTCAGTTTTTGATTGATGATTCACAACAGCACAAACTAAGCGTTCCTCTAATAACTCGACAAGAAAATTGGACACAAGATGAAAATTACTTTATTAGAATCCCAAATTTCCACGTCTTGCATCATACTCCATAGATTTTTTTATCGCATATTACCCGCTCGCAAGACATCAATCATATTGTATATTCTCTTAGGATCCTTTGCTTCAATCTGCATACATCAAACATAAGTATAGTAAGAGATTAATTGTTATATACTTACAGTGGAAATAGAGCAAGTTTAAAATTTTAAGCACCTTCTTAGCAAGAAATAGTACAGCATCAACTGTGCCCTCGGCGTATATTGATCTACCACAAACATTATGTTGAAATTCAAACGAAACTCTGCAACGATTTGATGAAGAAACAATACACAATACAGAAAAATTAGTTAGCGGCAAGAAGAAGTGTGTAGAAACATAGAATGAGAGAAGAAAATGAAAATTGTTAATTCTTACGTTTCGTCTGGTGATGCCAAATGATACATATGAAAGGCATGACCCGACAAATACTCCTCTGGAACTCCCACCATTTCAACTTGTAGCTTAGGGTCCCTGATCAATTGTATCTAACAAAATTCATGGAAAGAAGGGGGAAACTCGGGTAAGAATTTGGATTCTTTTAATATAAAAAGAAGAATGGGAAACTATGTTGTACCAAAATGAACCATGCAATGTGATCTAACGCACCTGATCCATATCGAAGGAGACCCCCAATTTATTGAAGCAAGATATCACAGCCTTGGCAGTTCCAGATGCGTCAACTTTGTTTGCTTGATGAGACTCTAATACCTACAATCTTGGAAGAATGCATCAGATTTTAACATTGCATTGATCAGAAGCTTTATTAAAGGATGGGAGCCAAAAAAATAGAAGAATTCATGAAACCTAATGTTAATTTTACCAACACGAGAGTTTAACAAAGCATTTATACAGCAAGAATTGCTTCTGTAATAAGTAGGGTAGTAATTTAAATGTAACCGCAATTTATCTTTCCAATCAAAATCCACGGGACTGTAATCTCTAAAACAAGATATGCCAGTACTATTCAAGTAATGGGTAATTTAAACAACCGATCTACTTAAACACGAGGTTGCAGACCAGACCAGACCAGGATAAAGCAAACCAGAACAAAATATCAATATTATGCAAGTGACCAATAAAATTAACCAACTGAATGCAGATTGCAGACCAGATACATTTTAGACTCAATCAATTGTCCTCAAACTCACAACTCAATGCATCTCTACATGAGGTTATGCCAGACTACTCGAGTTTACACACACAACTTTATAAGGGAGCTAACTTAATTTCGGTATTGAATGAAGTGAGTTAACTTGAGTTTGACAACCATGCTTGCCTAAAACTCAATTCAAGTTTCTAGCAAAGAAAATTCATTTTGTTTGAACAATCTGACAATCTGTCTTAGTTTCAGCAGGAATGTTATGAGTTATGACAAATAAAAATGTCCCAGAGTGTAAATACAGCAAAAGAGATACCTGTAAGGAATACCCAGAAAAGGCTTCGGGAAATTGCTCTGCCATAATTTCCATAGCTGCAAGAAAAGCAACAACCTAGGGAAAGAGTATAGCAGCATAAGGATGACATCCTACATGAGTGTAAAAGACATGATAAACAGAAAACTGATCAAGGTTTTCAGAATTATGATTTACCTGCTTTCCCATTTGCGGGGATATGACAGCATAATTCTTTGCATCTTCAACTGTCTTATGCAACAAATCCCTATCTCCACCAGTGGTTCCCATCACAAAGGGTACTCCGACCTTACTGTATAACTCTGCATTGCCTGCAAATGAGAATGAATTAATATATAGCACCAACACCATTAAAATTTTCATAAAATACTCTTAATCGTATATTTTATAACATCAAAAGTTCAAACACAATTCTACTTTGAAAGTTCAAAAACGTGTCTTGCATTGGTCAATGGAATGGCCAAATACAACCCCACATATTCTTTGGCATCAAATACAATTATTTTTGTTATTTTTATTATAATAGTTTATAACTATTTGCAATGCAATTGCCAATCTAGTAACAAGCCTTTTCTATATCCAAAAAAAATACCAAAACTATTTTTTTCCTCTTTTTGACCTTTATTCCTCTCTCTTCTTATGTTATTCAAATTAATTTCTTCTTATATACGTATCTTTTTTATTTTTGAAGAGTTCCTACATAGAACCAAATTATTCCACACCTCACTCATCTATATATATTTGATTGAAACTTGCTATAAAAAAAATTTAACATAATTCATCTATATATACTTGATTGAAACTTGCTATAAAAAAACTAATTTACGCGGTTCTTGAGGTAGTTTAATGTTATTATTACTACTATTATTGTATAATCAAATGTGATTTCTACAGCTACTCATGGCCCCAACACACTACACATCTTTAAAACAAAGTGTCCACGTTACAATGATCAAAATGCAACAAAGAGAAACCAACCAAAAAAATTGCACATTATCAACACCAAATGAAATTCAGAACAACCAAGATGCAGCACAAATAAAAAATATAAGATCCTCATTGATAAAGAATCATAGAATGCTATCATTATCATATATCAACACAATCCTCATTGATACAAAATCTTTATTTTTACTAATCAATGATACAAAATCATGTAATGCTATTATCATTATTGTATATTAACACAAAAGAGTAACAGAAAAAGCAACCGTTGACTGTGAAGTTATTTATATTTCTCTCCAATGATAAGAAACATGCTTCAAAATACTTCTACCTACCATTGATTGCATTTGGTAATGTGTAGTCAACATTAATCACATTTGGAAATTTATCGACAATAGATTGAAGAAAACCGTTCACAAGAAACTCCCTTCCACCGATCTCAAAAGTCCGTCCTGATTCCTCTTCAACCCTAAACGACACTGGCACAACGTTCAGTCCAGCACGTAATAATGGCTACCTTAAAAAGCACCACATAATGGACCACTTAACTGATTCGGTTTGTTAGGATAATACTACAAACACTAGTTTGGTTTAATAGTGGCTACCCTAAAAAGCACCATGTAATGGACCACTTAACTGATTAAAAGTCTTAAACTATGATCAATTAGCATTATATGCATATGAAACCGATTGCTGTCTAGCTGTCCAATTCCACTCCATTCACAAAAACCATAAGCCTTATAGTTTACTATAAATTAGAGCACGTGATATTTCTGTTTCATCACTTCTCACACAAAACAACTCTCTTCTGTCTCGCACACAAATACTGTCCAATGGCTGTTAATCATGTAATCACTTTTTTAATACGTACACCTTTTATGGTAGCTTTTGCTGAAAACTTTTACCAAGATATTGGTATCACTCGGGGAGATGGAAGAGGTAAGATTCTGAACAATGGTCAGCTTCTTAATTTGCCTTTAGACAGAACCTCTGGCTCTGGCTTTCAGTTCAATAATCAATATCTTTATGGTAAGATTGACATGCAAATCAAACTTGTACCTGGGAAATTCAGCTGGCACAGTCACTGCTTATTGGGTGAGTTTAATCCATACTCAATCTAAAACAATACTGTAGTATTTTTCTAAAACATGCCTAATATCTAATATTGAACTTTTGTATCATGCATTGCAGTTACGTTCAGCTACGCTCAGAAGGGTTATCATGGGATGAATTAGACTTTGAATTCTTGGGAAATTTATGTGGTGATCCTTACATAGTTCATACCAACGTGTATACCAAAGGTAAAGGTGACATTAAGCAACAATTTTATCTACGGTTTGATCCAACTGCAGATTTTCATACATATTCCTTTCTATGGAATCCTGCACATGCTGTGTAAGTTTGTCAAATTCATATCACAATCTTAGTATGCAAATGAGCGTTTAAAATTACATTATATCATAAGCTCTGCTACATGTGAGATCAGTGTTGCCGATGGCACATGGCGGAGAGCCAAAATCCCGCCATACTAGTCGATTTGCAGCGTCGTTATTGCGGAAAAACCCGCAATATCGGCCAATATTTTCCATTGTGGCGAGCTCAAAAACAGCCATGTATATCCGCCATCGCGGCCATGGCGCCTCTATTTGATAACACTACTGAAATTTCATAATTTATACTAAAACAGGATAAAAGAAATGAATATCAAGCTATATATACTTCCCTACAATGATAAGAAAATACATGCTTCAAAATATTGACACATACCATTGACTGCATTTGGTACAGTGTAGTCCACAACAATCAAATTCGGATATCTATCGAGAACAGATTCAAGAAAACCCTCTCTATCAGAAGGACCATTCACAAGAAACTCCCTTCCACCGACCTCAAAAGTCTTTCCTGATTCCTCTTCAACCCCAAATGAAACCGGCAAAACATTCAGTCCAACAGCTTCTGCTGCACTAATAACAGCTTTTCCCATTCTTCCAGTACATGAATTAACCTAACCAAAATAAACAAAAAATCAACAATCAGCACTACACAGCTATAGCATTTTCCGCTAACCGCAATTAACAACATTGTGCTAAATCATGAATTATGCGCTAAAACAGATACACAGATTTTCGAAATTGAAAGTTAATTACCATTATCGGAAGTGCAGTGTTCGGAGTGGAAGCTGCGGATTTTTCGAGAAAAGTCTGAACCGGTGTGGCTGACATTGAGATTTTAGGAACCAAACGCAAACTCTTTTTCTGCGAAATGGGGAAATTTCTCTTGGAATTGGCGTTATTGGAGAAGAATGTGAGGTTGTTGTGGTGTCTATGAAACACGTTTGTTGCGGTTTTGATTGTGAAAGTTGCCATTGAGGTTGAATTAGGGTTTAGGGTTTTGGGAAGAAGCTGCGATATGCAAATGTAGAGTTTCACCGTTCGACGCCGTTGTTATTTTACTACGTTCTATATCAAATTTAAATTTTGTCTTTATTATTTTTTAGAAAAAAAATATAAGCAGTGTATTTTGTCTTCTTTTCCAAGAGACAATAAACCATTGGACAAAACATTTTTTAGAACGTGTTAAAGTTTTATTAAAAAAAACTAATTAACAAATAATTTAGAGATAATTAAATTTTATAATTAATATTTTGATTAATAATTTTATGTTTTTGTTATTATTTAATATTTTGATCAATAAATTTATGTTTTTATTGTTTTTATCAGTAACTTAATATTCTCGTTATTATTCAATTCATAAATTGCACACTTCATACACCTCAAACAATTATTTGATAGATTAAAAAACTAAATACTCAAACGACTTGATAATAGTCAAATGAATAACTTCATTTTATTTTAATTAATATTAAATTACATAAAAAAAGAAAAGCATAATTTCTATATCATTATTTTAAAATATACAGTAAAAGCAATAATTTGACGTGCAATCACTACACCCCTACCAAGCCAAACAAATATTCTATTTAGCTGTACATCAAATCGACTTTGTTAAACTACTACTACAGATAAACGATGATATGAGGATAATAATATTAAACTACATTGGTTTCAGACATCTCTAATGAACTATCCATAAAAATTAGCAATGTATGATAGCAATTTACAAAGGATCATATGCATCGGGTGCAACCCCAAACTACTTCGAAAATACGCCTACAAAGTCTAATAATTCTTCAATACCCCGCATCCACGCTCTCAACTGCAATTCTTATTTCATCGACAAGCAACGAAGAAAGAGCCTTTTGCTCCCGAGTAGCTGCAGAAACATATATTTGAGATGGAACAGGCTTTGCAGGATAGGCTTCGCTGCTCAAACCATTTGTTAAATCGGTGCCTTTAATTACAAGTTACAGATACCAATAAAAATATACTTCATAAAGGGATATCACCACAATTAATAGGTTAAGGGAGAGAAAGGATTCAATATCATACCCCAAATTTGTCCTACCTCAGCGATCCTTCTTTTAGAAATATTTAATTAAAGATGGTACAACAATATCTGATGGACTATCTTTATTCAAGATCAGGGGGGGTATTTTAAATCAAGAAGATTTAGTTGTTATTTAAACGAGGGGTGAAAATTAAATCTGGGAGTAAGCAAAAGAAATAGGGAGAATTAACGTTATGCCCAATTGAAATTAAATGAGAAGTTCTGACTGCAAACGAATAAGTGCTAGGCTGTGTGGATCAAGCGCTGACCCAACAGAACTTCTGAAGCAAACCCCAAAAGTTCTTCTTTATAGAAACAAACGCAAAAGTTGTGCAGATCAGAGTCAGAATCACGCACAAGCTAGTACTGGTACAGAACTGAAATATCATATCTTCTAGCAGAGTCAGATTGTAAGCAAGGGCGGAATCAGATTATCTTCCACAGCCCAAGCTCAGAGTTTCAGAGGCTAAGCAACCCAAACCCAAATCTGTTGGACGTGCACTGTATCAAATTCAATCAAATTTTTCACAGAAAATCAATTTCAATCAAATATTTTTTAATTCTATCCTCAATATTTGCTCTAGCCATAGTCCAAGCCCAAAAATTGAACATTATAAATAGAGGAGTAAATTAGTAAACAGGAAAGGAAAGAGAAAAAAGAATACAGAGAGAAAGAGAGAGGAATTTGCAGAAAAGTTTGCAAAACAAGAAAACGTAGCAGGAACATGAAGAATACAAGAGTTTATGGAAAACCCAGAAGAAGAACATGCAGAAGAGTGACAGAGGTTTTAATATTTGGAACCCTAGTTTCAATCATCGTTGCTCCACCTTCTATCGCTGCTGTCACTAGAACCTGCAGAAGAAGAAGGAAAGGACAGCAAAACGCGCACCAGAATCAAAAGCAAGAGCGCCAAAGGGGTAACAAAATTTAATTTGCTTCTTTACTATTTTTTTTCATGCTGGGTTTAAGATGAATAGGGTCGGGAGAACATAGGCAGGGCTGAAACTATAGAAAACAAATTTGTAGATAGTTTTATAATCTGATTGCATATGTTCACGCTAATTTCTTACGTTCAGATGTAATTCCCCTTTTAGAAGTTTTGACTGAGCTTAACCCGGGTTTCAGATTTTTTTTCCTTGTCCAAAATCAGCATTAGACTTATATACTTTCTGTCTGCCCTTTTCCAGAAATTCGGAGTAGTGGATGTTGCACCCCAAAATTTGCCCTCCCATATTCTTCAAAGTTTTGACAAGCATCATCTCAATTTGCTCAAGTCTACTCAAGGGATGCACAGTCAAATTGCCTCTTAAGGCAGTCAAAATTAGGGTTTTGGTTCTTGCAAGGAAGTTGAGGTTTTCAGTGGTCCAATCAAGTCTCGTGTGCCTATATACATTGTCAAGCATCTACATGCCAAGTCTCAAGACTCACAGCATCAAGTTGCACAGTCAAAAGCCCTAATTGCTTCATAGTCAACTGCAGGGATAAAATGGTCATTTGACAGTCAAAAGTCAAAATTTTTGGTCAATATCCTATTTTGAAGCCACAATCATCATTTGATCAAGTCTTGATCATGATTCCTCAAGAATGGCTCAGAAATCATCAAGATGCAAAAAGTCTCTATTTTTGGACAGTTGAAAAGTCAACTGTAACTTGACCAAGGCATAATTTTTTCATGGTTCATTAGAAAAATCCCATCCAATGCTCATTTTGAAGGGGATGACATTTCCTACAATTCATCTTCACATTCCAAGTCCAAGAAATGCTCTCACAAAAAGTTATCAATTTCTACATTATAGGTCATTTTCAAAAGTCAACAAAAAGGCACTTTAAGTCAAAGACCATAACTTGAGATTGGTAAATCAAAATGACATGGGACCAAATACATTGGTTAGAAGACTTCAAGACCTTTCCAAAATGTCCAAGAACATGTTCATAGCCTCAAAATTGAGCAAGATATGCATTGGAGAAGTTGGGATATTTTTGGGAACTTTCAAAAGTCAACTTTGCCTAAAACACTTCATTTTTGCTAATGGGCCTCAAATTCCTTCTTGAATCTTTTCCCAAGGCTTACTCACGATCCATTGAACTTAAAATGATTTATTTTCTTATTTTTAATTAATTAATTGAATTTTTATTAATATTAATTCATTTAATTGATTTTAATTGTAGGAAAATTCAAAAGATATGATTTTTAAATCTTTTGTGATGCAAATAAAGCTAGGGCAAGCTGGCAATTCGTGTACATATCAAAGACCTCAAAATCTCCATGATTGGCAAGGTTTTATCAAAGAAAAAGATTGAAAAAGATTTGATTGGCAATCACACATTCAAACCATAATGCCATGGATTGTTGGGCCAAGATTTACCCTAATTCTATTGTGCTATATGTACTGAAGCTTAACCTAAAACCCTACACGTGAAAAAGCTGCTGAAACCATAGAACCAAAATTCAAAAAAGTCAAGAAAAGTGTGAAACTGAAATCTCACTTGCAGCATAATTCAAAGCCTAAAAAAGATTCAAATGTATTGCTGACATTGCCAGGAACCTGTTGCCATCAAGAACAAGCCCTAACGCCATCAGAATCGTTCACAACAAGTCACTCGGTTTGCATTATTTTCCAAAATTGCATATCATTATTCATGCGTTTTTAACCATTTTTTTGGATTGATTTATGTTAATAGGGACCTCCTTAAGCGATTGGTATAATCCAATTTGGTTATAGCATTCTGAATCAGAATCCACCATTGGAGACATCTAGGGTTTCGAAGCTGTTAATTTAGGGCTTTGCACATAAGGGAAAATTGGACCATAAAACGTACATGGTTGAATTCGTCAAGGCCAGACGAATTCAACCCAATCCTCGCGCTCAATTTATATTAACCCTAACTCTAATCGTTATTTTTCGTTGTTGTAGTTAGTGGGGGTTTAAAACCCCCGCTACTTGTTCTTTGTTTTACAGGAAAAGATGAAGAAGACAATACGTGGATGAACATGACTGGTTGATTCAAATATGATGCGCGCCTTTCTTTAATTTCCCAGCATAATTGATATTTTGTATATTATTTTCACTAGCCATTATTATTACAAATACAACGCGATGGTGTAGTGGTTGGTGACGTGTTTGTTCATTACTGGGACCTGGGTTCGATTCCCAGGTCCACCCAAATTCAATATTATTTTTCATAACGTTATCTCAAGCAGCGCCTGTCCAATGTTCTACCATGCACGTCAACCAGTGATGCGCCACGTGTCTCTCAGCATCCATCCAGTGGCCAGGAGATGAAGACTATGGTACTCAGGGGTCAATAAGTGTGCACATGATTATGAAAGTCAACGTGGCTTGTTTGTTCTTGGGCCAGAATTCAACAAAAAAAACCTCCATATGGGCCATCATACCCCCTTTGGTTTGCTATTTTTTCTATTTTATTTTCTTTTCTTTTAATTCTTTTAATTATTATAATTATCATTATTAATTCACAATAAATTAATTTTTCACAATAAATCCAGAAATCACAAAATTGTAAACATTTTTTATTGTTTATTATTTTTTACTATTAGCTATTATTTTTGTAAATAAATACTAATAATTAACTTAGCTTAATTTAGGTTTTAATTTTAACCTTTTTCTCAATAAATAAAAATTATATAGAATTAGGTTTTGACATTTTTAATCATTTTCTTATTATCATCATTATTAATTATTATTATTTTTTGTACATACAAATGTAAATTAATTAATTAGTTTAAATTAGGTTAACTTTAACATTTTATTAATAATTAAAATAAACTTAGAACTAGGGTTATTGACCTTTAATTTCCTTTTTCTTTATTTTCATTAAATACAAAAAACACAAAAAAACATCTTTCTTTAATTAATTAAATAATTAGGTTTAATTTTAATTAAAAGCAAAGGACAA